ATTTTCTCAGAAAATCTTGATTTATGTTATGCGGAATTTCACTAATTTAGAATGGGATATACTTTACCTTAGGTAATCACAGCATTACAGATGCTTTATAAACGGGAAGTTTCCTTAAAAGCTTAAGGAAGACTTTACAAAGAGGCCTAAATTGTAAGATTTCCAACAGGGACCAGGAGCCTACTGCCCACAATTAGACACTCCACTGGAACTGACATACAAATCCAGCTGCTTTGGAGATACAATGGCACAGTTGAATACATTCCAAGAGATTCAGATTTGGGGAAAGCTACTAAACTCAAATACATATTTACCTCACTGTGTTAACTTACTAAAGAATTCATTTACTCATGAGTTTCCCCCTTCTGAGACTGGAAAAACTATTAACATGGCAGTAAGGTGCTAGGCATAGTGGCATACACTCTGTAATCTCTCCATACATTACATACCAAGACAGGAGGGTAGCTTAAGTTCAAATCCACTCTGAGTTTCACAATGAGTTCAAAGCCAGTTTTGGGTTACTGTGCTAAAATTAAATAAAAGTTTAAAAATCCAGGAAACTAGACGGATGACTAAGTTAAGAGTACTTGCTGTTCCTGTAGAGAACTTGAGCTGGGTTCCCAGCACCCATCAGACAGCTCACAACCACTTGAAGCTCAAGCTCCAAGGGATCTGAAACAGTCGCCTGGTCTCTGCAGACACCCACATGGTATGAGCACGAATACCTTCATACACATACATACATACACACACACACACACACTTACTTAGAAAACCGAGCAGCACATGCTGCCCCACTAAGAAACAACACACTAGAATCTGAGTTTATTTTTAAATATACAGAGAGCAAGCCTCAACACCTGACACCTACAACCTAATTTCCTCAAAATATGCACGTCACCTAGATACCAAAGTATCCAGTACAAATGGATTCTCCAGCTATTTATCTTTATACCTTTAGCATTCCAGAAAGCAATGAACCTTCAAAGACATGGGTTGGCAAGTCAAACCAAACTTACCTTATTTCCACAAAGTTTGAAGTGGTATGACTAACAGAAATAGCTTCATTTCCAAGGATGGAAACCTAACCTTTCAATTACATCTCCAACACACACAATGTGAAGTCCAATGATCACACTTTGTCAAAACGGCCTTTTTAAAGACTGAATAAAATCAAACTGCCAACTTACAACTGAGCATGTCAAATAAATGAAGCAAAAATGACAGCTATTTTAACTGAGAACTCAAGACACTTCATAGCATTATAATACTGCCTGTTTAAAATGTAATTTTAAATGCAGAGCAACAAGGTTGTTTGCAAAACAACAGCTTTGCTAGTGTACAGCTTTAACCCCAGTACCCCACAGGCAGAGGCAGGTGGATCCTTTGAGTTCGAGAGACCAGTAAGGTCTACAGAGTTCCAGGACAGCCAGTGTTGTTTCAAACAAACAGCTAGAACTTATGAAGTGCTTAATATGGCTTAGAAGTCAAACCAAGTACATGATTCTTCTTATTCTCACAATAACCCCATATAGAACAGAGATTCATATCCAGAGTTAGGTATCAACAGCCCAAGTCACAATCAGCTAACAAGGTTGAGAAGGGTGACACAACCATTAACTGTTATTTTTAACTAGTCAGTACACCACCATGCAGGGTTTTGAGAACCACTACTAAAGCATTCTTACACATCCTAACAGTCAGGGATCTGCTGTACAGAACACACCATGGCAGTGTCCTAATGCCATCCTGCCAGATTAATCATTTCTACAGAATACAACGCCACAGAGGATCACACGGACACTGTGGTTATCTATGTAAGGGCTGTAAAGATTGGGCCAAGTAATTGGACCCAGTAATGGTAGAGGGAGGAGGCTCTCAAGAGACTTTTCAGTGTTGTAGCTACTGGTAGGATGGCTACAGTAAACAATGCTTCAGTAAACAATAACAAATTTACTGGATCAATAAAACAAATCCAAAAAAACAAAGCTCAACACAAATCCCACAATAATAATTAAAGACAGATGAAAGCTAATAGATGCAGGTGTTATTTGGGAAGTGAAACTAACAAGACTGGGGGGAATATTGGAAAGGGGTAGGGAATATGACTAAAATACTGTATTCCATGAAAGAAATGTCATAATAAAATCAATTATGTATAATATACTCCAATAAAAGGTACTGAATATCACAAAATATTCTAAGTGTAGAAGTTATATGCAGTAAATAAACAAAACCACAATAAAGCCTGTAAAACTAGGCTAAGTACTGAACTATACATTCTCAAATGCTAAACTAAGAATTCTAGGTTAAAACAATCAGAGCTCTCCTTGAAATTATAGCTATGGTTAAATCCCAGTATTCAGCCTCACCCATGGAAACACATTAAGCAACAGAAAGAAATGCAGCCTCTGCACCACTTGGGACTTTTACAGATTTTGCTACTGATTGAAAAGTCCTCTGCCCATCATCACCTTTCCCAGTTGCCATTTTGAGTTCAGGAAATCCTAACTTCCCCAAAGTCAAGCATCCAGTTTGCAACTGCTGGTACTTCTGATTACCATAAACATAACAGACTCAAATATATTAAGTATCAACCCAAACATTACCAGAATGCTTTATGATACCAGTTATATGTTAAAATTTAGACTGCTGGACATTATGTTTTTAAACTTCAGTTTTCTTGACTAACATTATTTGTTAGGCTATTATATAAACATTTAAAATTTAGGGATATGCCAAATGATTTGGGGGGGGCGGGGTACTTAAAAAAAAATGGCTTCCCAATAATATAAAGTCTGGGCGATAAATAACACTGACAAGAGCACCATCCAAATATCCGCAGAGACAAAAGGGGAAACTATACTTCTCTGATCACCAAAGAACTTGAATTAAAGCTGATACCCATCCCCAAAAATCCAGATGGCCTCTCGAGTGACTCTGTGTAAACTGTCAAATCATTGTGGGTCACAAAATACAACACGAAAGGCAATACTTTCCAATGTAGGAGGCCTGGAAGACCTTGAGACTAAGCCAGAAAAAGGTTGTATAAAGCAAAGTGAGACAATCTCACATATGAATACAAATACAAAGAACTTTAATATTAACAAAACAAATGTGACACTTAAAAAATGATGCATCAAGATAAAGCTGGGTTTCCTAAGTGACAAGGAATGGCTCATAAATTTAAAACTGTGGATGCACCGCACACAGTGGCAGTTATTTGTAATCTCAGCCCTCAGAGTGCTGAGGCAGAAGGATCATGATCTTGAGCAAAGACTATCCTACATCATGAAACCTTGTACACCCAAAAATAAATTGGAAAAATCTGGAAACCTTAAAAATAAAATGGCTTCTTCCAACATCAGAATTTCTTTGGATATTCCATAAATCTCGTCAAAACTTCATAAAAGCAGTTTTAAGATATAATTTAGTAAGAAATTAGGAAACTAAGATGTTTAAAGTAAAATTTGTATTCTTTTCAAATAAATTTAGTTTTGGGGTAAACTTAAAATACTTATGGAAATTAAATTCATTCTAAATCATCTTAATTTCAAACAAGATAAATTTTTAAGAAGCTACTCTAAATCATTACTGAAAGATTTTGTTCATTAATTACAACTTATACAAGAAGTTTGGGAGTGAACTGAGTCCAAGATCTTATGAAGAATTAAGTCCCAAGAAATTCGGGGCAATGGTTCACTACCTTGGTCATGGTGACTGTATACCTTGGTATGGCAATGTATACCTCAATAAAATATTTGCTTAAATACTTGCTATGCAGAAAATGAAATGAGTTTCAAGTATTCAAATTGTGCTCCCCCAAACAACCATGGGCTAATTCTGTTCAATAATTACACACTAGATCTGCAATTTAACCAATCTGCATTTATAGACCCTCCTTTCAATATGATCCAAACTTTTAGCAAATTAAAATTGGTAAGTATGTATTTCCATCCCCTTAATAATCAAATGTATTCATGCTGTCACTTGATGGATAGAACTATATTGCTGTAACTCACCACTTTTATATAAAATAATTCTATTAAAGTATAATAATAAATAAACACTAGCTAAATACTGTCTGGATTGGAATTAAGGCAAAAGAACTGCCTGAACATAAAGATGCCCCAAAACAATTAATCATTATCCTTTTATGCAAATAATAGCACAATCCAAAGACACTCAATGTTACACTGGAAGCTTTGTAATACTATCCCTTAGGTATTCTTGTGGCTGATACATTAAACTTTTCCCTTTTTAAAGGGTATTTAACATTTTGTCTCAAAATTTTTATGGAGGTAAAAATGTGGGGTTTTTCTGGTTTAAATTCTCCGTTACCCCAGTCTCCATGAGAACCAAAACAAGAAAAATGTAAAACCTAGGTTCTGGTGAAAGCTGGGGACTGACACAGAAATAAATAAAATATTGCTGCCTTTTAAGAAAACAAAAAGACTAGTCTGACATTAACACTTCTGGTCTAAGACTTCTCTCTACAGAAGAATATACTGGGGCTGGAGATATAGCTCTGCCGAGGACTCAAGTCAAGTTCAATATCTAGACCCATACCAATATATCAGTCAGCTTAAAACTGCCTGTAACTTCAGCTGCAGGGGATCTGACACCCCTCTGTCCTCCTCATACACAGACATATATACATACACATAAATAAATATTTTTAAAAATAGAATATATGGATATGAATGGGGTTGGGATAGAGCAACAAAAGCAAATGAGAGTAAAACAAAGCTTGAAAATTGGTAACAAATATACAGAACCATGATAGTCTAATATACCACCAAAAAAAAAGATTATGAATTTTCCTTGTAAATGAAAAGTCGACATTCATTCAGTAGCTTTGTGAATCTGATTAAAAAAAATTAAGCTTTCTAACCTCAAAGGAATTGCATTTTTAATGAAGAAAAGTATAAAGTTAAGAAATTAATACAGCATGTTGCACTTGAAGATCGGTACCTTGAACACTACAGAGAACAACAATATTCTGAAAATCCAGTTTATTTTCCATGTCATGGACAGATCCAGTCAGGGTGATCAGGTTTTCTGAATGTGTAATAATTTATCAAAATAAGTTTTCCTACATCTCTTCCAATCAGCTCTGAAAACCCTGATCTGACAATACACCAAATAAAGCTCCTGACAAGCAACTCCTGAAGCTTGGGACAACACCTGGCAAGTCTCCTCTCTCACATCCACTGCACTAGGAAGGGATAAAGAGCATTTGTTCTGATAAGTGACTTAATACAAGACTTGAGTTCAAGAAGTTAATGTTTTAGTGCACTTTGCTCCAGTTTTAGCCAACATGCTACTACATTTTCCTTTTTGCTGTTTTGTTTTGTTTTAGGGGGAAGTGGGGTGAGGAGGTGCACAAAGTAGAGTTGAAGATTTCCACTGTTCAAAGAAGATATGACTCTGCAAGCAAAACTGTAAGCTGCCTTTTACCTTAAGACCTGAACATTTTAAGACAGAAGCTTTGCAAAACATTACACAATTTTTTATTATTAAATGAGAAAATCTCATTTGTTACATCGTCACATTGCTAGTCAGAGAAATGCTGCAGTGATGAAGAAAGTCAATGTTGGATCAACCAAAGTCCTCATTTCTACAACATTCATTTACAAAGAAATAATGTTCAACACAGCCCAACACAACATTCTTGGTTTTCTTCATATTGAAGTCCCCCAATAAAATCATCTTCTAATGGGGTAGTTCACTACATAAATTATAGTTCTTCATTTTTACAATTCACCCCAAACTGCATGAGAGATGTATCACACTAAAATTTCTAAAGCTGTTAGGAAATCCTTCACACATCGTCGTCATCTGATGTGTCACTGCTACTTGTCTCTGTGTCATCATTCTCAATTGTGGGTTTGAAAGTGCTGTTTTTCCAAGGTCCAAACTTGAAGTCACAGATCAGGCCATTTTTCAAAATACCATTTTTCCTCAGCCCATTCTTCTGTAACTAAAATGTCAAAAACAAGCAAGTTAAGTCCCAAGAGTTAATACTATAATAATAAGTATAACCATTATTCTAATAAAATTAGAATTGTATTTTACCCTGAAAATTCTAGATAAAACTACACAATGGCCCCAAAATAAGCTATTTGAATAGTCATGAGTAATTAACCAATTATAACAATATAATTTCTATCATGGTAGCCTTAATCTGTTAATGCCAACACTTGAGAGGCAAGAAGAGCTTAAGAGTCAAGGTGATCCCCAAGCGACACAGAAGAGTTTCAGACTAGTGTGTGGCTACACAGCAAGGTCATGTTACAAAACCAAGTAACATTTGAGAACATTCCAAATCTATGTCTAAAAGCCTGTGCATCGATCCCTCAGTAACATTTTAAAGCCTTTTCTTAAAATCAGCTCCTCTCTACTTCTACACTACTTATAAGTATACTACCATTACATTCATGTATTTCAAAATCCTAATGATTGTATTTTAAATCTTTTATTCTCAAAACCACTTTACCTAACTTTTCTCCAGTATAGGCTGCAATGCTAATTGCTGCAACATATTCCTAATTTATCAGCACAAGTCTACTCTTAAGAACTACACCTATAATGTAAACTTTCAAAAGTACCTCATATCTTTTTAAAAAAAAACCTCTAATGAACCTAATAAAGACAAACTCCTGATATGACATTCAAAGCCCTTCATATTCTGACTTCAGTGTAACTTTCTTCAACATACCCCTTTACCATGATTAAAGTAGGGCAAATAATTCAGCAAAACTTAGAGCTCAAATTAACTATGTTAGAGAAGCTGTAGTTTTATCATCTCTCAGCAGTATTAATAAACCTATATCATATAATGCCTTAAGAAAGCACTTAACATGGTACCTAGTAGGAATTATGAGCTAATGTTAACATTACAGTGTGAAGTCGCACGTTAAGACCTTTAAAAGCTTTCCACCTAATTCTTTCTGCTACTATGATCCCTAGCAAAAATCTCTTACTTTTTCCTGATTTACAACTTGTTCCAACAATATCATTCTTTCATCTGTCAAAGACCATTTCAAATCCATGTCCTTAATCAAATTTTCCACATTAACCAGTAGGGAGTAAATTCTAAAAGGAAAATTCTTAATTTTGCATTTCTCTACCACCTACTCATTCCATCTCTGGTCCTCACCTGCAATGTTTAGAATTATTATTATAGCAATCTGCTTTACATGAGAACTTATATACTCTCACTATACTGTTAGCTAGAAGAAAAAAGAATTCAACTCTGGATATGTAAGCATTTATATCTGGATTATCTAAACACTCAGTACATGTTTGTTGGAGAGAGAGAATTTACAAGCAGAACCATTAAGATCCAACTATGTTACCAGGTACAATGCAAGCCCTTTTAAAACATCTTTAATCATTTCTTTGGTACCTAAATATCAAATGTTTTATGATACTCAATACAAATATACCCATGCCTTTATCATTAGTTCAGAATATATAGACTTTATGTATGTCACTAGTTTCCAATTCACAGTGTATAAAAATAATACCTTTGTGACAGGTACTTTATTAATAATAAGGTTTTAGCTATATGCTTCAACCATCCAGTGGTTTTAAAGTCTATTATCTTAGTAATGTAATATTCTGTTTTCCTTGGAATACTGTTATAGCAATAGTGCTTAGCACTTTTTGAATGGCACCTTTCTTCAAATAATAAATAAATCATTCAAGCTGGGGACACCTTAGTGGTAGAGCACTTGCTTAATAGCATGTACTCCAGAAAAGCTAATTACTGTGGATAGAAAGCAGACTGATAAATGGACACCAGAGTCAGAATTGTGAAAAAGACCATTGAATACAAAGGCAAATGAAAAACTCTGGATGGAGATGGAACAACTTCTCAATTATGATCAGTTTATACAACTGAGTAAAAAAACAGTTTAACTGAACCATTTAAAGTGAAATTTTATATTTAAACTATGCACATGCCCAACAAAAAAGTCTTTCAAAACTACTAGTATCTATGGCCATCAACTTCATAATCATGTTAAAATCATGGTGCACTAAGAAAGTTTGAACTTAGCCGGGTTGGTGGCACACGCCTTTAATCCCAGTACTCGGGAGGCTGGATCTCTGTGAGTTCAAGGCCAGCCTGGTCTCCAGAGCGAGTGCCAGGATAGGCTCCAAAGCTACACAGAGAAACCCTATCTCGAAAAAAAACAAAAAAGGAAAAAAAAGTTTGAACTTTAAAAAAAAAAAAAGGGAAAGAAACAGTAAAATTATTGCAGAAAACAAAATCCCAACAACCCCCCCAAGCCACCAAAAAAAAAAATGTAAATTTAATATACACCAAGGTTACAGTACATAAAAATCAACATGAAAAGTCAGCTGTTTCTAAGATAATGAACACTGACAACAACTCAAAAAAAAAAAAACTGTTTAGAAAGCAATTCCATTGCTGGGCAGTGGTGGCACACACCTTTAATTCCAAGAAAGACAAGTGGTTTGAGGACAACCTGGTCTACAGAGCAAATTCCAGGAGCTATTACACAGACAAACCTACACCAATAGAAAAACATCCATCTCGGGAGCAGAAAGGTTGAGTCAGGTGTAGATTAGAAGGAAGGACTTATGATAGGTAGGATTAAAAACATCTATCTCATGCTTATGGTTTAAAAGATTTAATATTGCTAAGATGCTAATATTACCCCAAATGACTTACAGATTCAATGCAATTCCATTTAACATAACAATGGAATTTGAGGAAAAAATCCACCCTTTTAGAAAATAAAAAAGGGCAGACAAGAAAAGAGATATGGGGGTGAGAGATATGAACAAATTCACTATATACATGTATAAAATCTCACAATGAAACCATTAGTTTGTTCAATTAATATACATTAATATAAAAGGCTTTAAGATAAACAAAAGAAAATTCCGTATTAAAATTTACATGGAATACAAAAGGGAGCCACAAAACTTGTTTATAAAATGACTATTATTCTTTTAAGCATCCCAATCAATTTCCCCTCCAATCTCTACTCCCAGTCCCTCCCCCTCCCTCCTCCTTCCTAGCCCCATCCATTCCTCCTTTATTTCTGCTCAGAAAAGTGCAGGGCTCCCATGGTTATTAACCAAACATGGCATATTGAGTTGCCATATTAAGGCTGGTCAAAGCAACCAGTGTGAGAAATACTCTCTTAAAAGAAAAAGAAAGCATCTTCAACAAATGGTGCTGGTCTAACTGAATGTCTGCATGTAGAAGAATGCAAATTGTTCCTCGTCTATCACCTTGAACCTGATAGAAGATAAAGTGGGGAATAATGCTGAACACACTAGGATGATGTTCCATCATACAAGAAGGATACTTGCTGTTATTCTTTTGTTTAAGCTGCAGCTGCTGATATAAAGAAAGGAACAACAGATAAACAACCCACGTGGAGTTTATTTACCAGAAAAGGGGGGAGATGGGGATGGGTAGTCAGCCAACACAAGAGGAGCCAAAAGGAAGACAGCGAGGGATGGGTGGCAGGACCTTTTAAAGGAAAGGTTGCATATGCGCACTGGGGTTTTGCACCTCACAGGTTGCAATGCATGGCAGGTGAGTGCCCCGTTGTTAGGGGGCGGGGTCAGGTCATCCAGGTGTATTGTTCTTACACTTGCTCAACTATCAAAACTTTTTGATTTTTAAACATTTATTTTCAACATGTGAAAAATTTGCTTTATGTGGTGTTTTGTCTGCATGTTTCTGCATGAAGATGCCAGATCCCCTGGAACTGGAGTTACAGAAAGTTGCCATGTGGGTGCTGAGAAATGAACCCAAGTCCTCTGGAAGAACAGTCAGTGATCTTAACTGTGGAGCCACCTCTCCACTGTGTCATGTGGATTTTCAGGATCAAAGTCAGGTTGTCAAGTTTGGTGTTAAGTGCCTGGACCTGCTGCGCTATCACCACCTGAACCCTACTTTTGTTCAGTAGCCATTCTACACACACACACACACACACACACACACACACACACACACACTGAAATTTAAATTTAAAAAAACAAAAACAAACAAAAAACCTACATTTTTTCAAATCAGCATTATTCATAATAGCCAAAAGTTAAACAGATGAATAGATAAACAATATATGATAGATGCAAATAATGAAATTCTACTCAGCCTAATCCCAGAAGTGCTATATATACATAAACTTGAAGTTATGATGCCAGAAGTAAGACCATCACAAAAAGACAAATAGTGTATGATTGCATTGATATGAGGCATGGAAAACCACCATGTTTATATAGAAAGCAGAATAAGTAATTTCCAGTACTAGAGAATCAGAAAGTTATCAATTAATGGTAGTAGGTTAATGTTTGGGAACACGAACACACACACACCATGGATGGTGGTAATGGTTGTTAAACAATATGAATGCATTTAAGCCATTAAGCTGAATGTGGGTGGGAAAAATGGTTAAATAAATTTTATGTGGTATGTTTTCAAGCAAAAATACAAAATTTACTTTTACCAGAACTAGTTTTTAAAACCTGTAATAGATTTAGAAAAATAACTTCTTGATGCTCTACCAAGTATGTCCTTGTACTCTTTTAGAAAGGAAAATATACAGACCTAAAACAAGATGGTTTAGAATATTAAATGCTCTTTTTGGAAAACATCAAGAGCCAAAGTTAATTAAAACTTGTCACCCATGTCAAATCAATAACCAAATTAAATGTCTGGATAACAAAAAAGTATTTCGTTCACCTAGACACTGTATACACAGTAAGACACTGCAGACTTGTCTCAAAGGGAATTCTGGCCTGTGGTATAATGGCTAGTAAATTCCTAAACAAATAAAATTATTAGGCTGCCCCTACCACCACAGTGTTTATGGAAGGGTTGTTTTATGAGTGAATCAAAAAGGCTCAAGATTCCTTACCTGTTCACTAATAACTTGGAATTCTCTCATTTCATCCTCAGTTAAGGGAGCACATGTTTCATCATTTTCACTGTCTTCCTGCCAGCCCATCTCCTTTAATAGTCTGAAAGGGAGGAATGTAAATTTAATTTAGAGCTTCACCTGGGTAATGCAATTATTCCCTATATACTATGTACAAGAAAACATGATCCACAGTCCTCAAGATACAAAGGGACTTCTGAGTTTTTTCCTTACAAATGAGTAATTGATCAAGTAAACCATATTTGGTAGTAAATAAAAATGAACTGCTTCATTGCTTAATCTTCAGGGTCAAGGTTATTTATGCTGGAAACTTGCAAGAGAAAGAGACAAAAATAAAAAGTAGCAAATCCTTGTACTAAAAGTCGTAACGATGCCACTTTTGCTTTTCATATAACTTATTCTTCTATCAATATGTCTTGGTAGAAAACTATCCTCAGTATACAATTCAATCTGAAGAGGCATTATGTTCTATAATAACAGAAAAATGCTATTTCCAAATTCAACCGAGCTGTATATAATGAAAAATGACTAAAAATTACTCTTTCCAATTTTTTTTAAAGAAAAAACTCCCATTTATAGAAAAACAGAGCCAAGAAAAGCCTGACAGAGAACTGACCATTTTGATCTGTTGGACAAGCATGTTGCACATAAAGCAGTAACCCTGAAGTTTCTATGTTTTTAAGGAAATCTATCTTTAATACATTTTTAAAAACTGTACTCCTTAAATATCTGTGTTACTTCTATTTGCACATCTTTCAACTTGTATCTATTACACATCAAGGCATTAAATAACTTCAGTCTCAAAGAATACAACAGTACTCATGAGCCCTGAAAAATATCTAACATGCTATCCATATTTTATAGAGGAAGAATTACGATCATTTAAGTAAAATTTGCTTGGGGCTAGAAAAATGGCTCAGTGGTTAAGAGCACTGGCTGCTCTTCCAGAGGGCCCAGGTTCAATTCCCAGCACACACATGGCAGCTCACAACTGTCTGCAAGCAACTCAAATTCCAGTGAATCTGATACCTTCATAAAATGCACATAAAGTTAAGTAAATTAAAACACACACACACACACACACACACACACACACACACACACACAATTTGCTTGATTTGCAGCAAAGGAGAAAAACAATTTTAGTATTCTGCCTCCAGAATTAGTATGTTCCACACTGAACTGTTGCCTCAGTTGCTTTTTCAGTACACTGTCTTAACTATAATTGGCTGCCCTTAGAAATGGCATTTCTACTCAGCCTAATCATTCAGTATCATCGAATCCACAGCTTATAAACTAAGACTAATAAAACTTTACTTTTGCTATGACCATTTTCTTTCTTTTACTTGTAAGAACTGGCAAAACATCATGATTCCTTTTGTTGAATCAACAACACTAAAAGAAAATGGAGACAAGGACAAGTATTCTTAACTCTCCAGCTGATAGATATACATGAGTGTTTATATTTAAAAAAAAAAGAGTTACCTTTACAAACTACTGTTCGTTACTAATAATGTATCTACTATAAGGTTATATGTACTTATGAATTGCAGTGAAAAGTGAAGCCATAAAATTTTTTTTCACACATGAAATCACATTTTCATAAACAAACCTGAAATCTAAAGTAAACTACAGGAAATATAAGTTTATGAGCTTAGAGAAAACAATGTTTTATTGGCTTTCGATGTAGGACTCGATGTAGGTAGTGGTTGGAACCTTGCTACCAGGACAGGTTCAATCCCCAACTCCTCCACAAAATGAAGTTAAGAATGACCATAAGGTATTTGCTCTAGAATTAGATTTCCTAGATTTAAATGTTAACTACACAATTTACTGAGTTGGCTCCTCTATGAGGCAGAAATGCAGTCAATGAAAGACACAGAGTACTAATAATCTTTAAAAGAAGAAACCCTGCCTATGTATATATGCATTTATTGATTTATGTGCATACATATTCACACAAATACAAGTTTTAATTAATCAAAATAGGCACTTTCCATTTACCGTTCACATGCTGTGATGATACCCAATACAGTATTTACTAACATGTAACTTGCACCCATGTAAAGACTGCTCTGCTCCACCTTTATAAGTAGATGTGCTTAGTTTTTATAACTTTCTATCCAGTGTTACCTAGGATGTGCACATTCTTCTATTAATAGTATTTATATATTCTCATTTTCAATATCCCATCAATCTTCCTATGAATATAATTCATATACCTCACTTTGTACTAGTCATTATTTTTGTTTCTTTACATATATCTAATGAATTTTGGCAAAAGTCGTAAGTGTCATAAGAAATATTTGCTTAATGCGCGCGCACACACACACACACACACACCTTATACATGAAGGCTTGTAAATGTATTAATTTGTTAGCACTTAAGTGGGGGAGAAGAAAGAGGTTCAGCAGTCAGAAAACACCAGCTACTCTTCTAGAAAAACAGGGTTCAATTCCCAGCATCCACATGGCACCTTACAACCATCTCTAACTCCATCCAAATCCAGGGTATCCAATGCCCTCTTCTGTACACGTGGTGGTACAGACATAAATGTAAGCAAACACTTAACACATAAATCTTAAAAATGAATATAAAGTGCAGCTATACACTATACTACTGAGCAATAAAAGGAACGAAGTGCTGACATACCCTAAAATAGGAATGATAATAAGTTTACTCAAAGTCAGCATGAAAGGGCAGAGATATAATACTAAGTCAACCAACATGGAAAACTTATAGTGATTATGTAAGTCAGGGTGAAATGATTAAACCACAATGGAAACACAACTATGACTGTAATAATAATTGTCCATTTAAAAACAAGTCAAACTTATTTTTAATAAACATGTTAAAAGCAAACAAATTAGGGCTAGATATAGTGGCACACACCTTTAATGCCAGTACGCAACAGGTAGTGCCAGGCATAGTTCAAGGCCAGACTGGCCTACATACTGAATTCCAGGCTGGCCAAGATTATATGGTAAGGTTCAGTATCAAAAAAGAAAAAAACAAGTAAATAAATGAAGAGTTTAGAATATAGCACAGGTAAAAACCTAGATCCAGTACCCAGGATCAAAAATATGGATCTAGCAATCACTTAAACTTGATAAAAATCTTGAACACAGATAATGCCAGTTGAAAAGTAAAAATAACTACTAACCTGTGTTCTGCCTCTAGTGAACTGGAAAGAACATCAGTTTGTGGAAAGGTTGACGATCGAATAATCTGTTGAGAAATCACCGAAGCATTGCCGTTCTCTTGTGGAATTTCATTTTCATCAAAGTTTCTGTTTATATCTCTTTCTTGGTGAGTACTATTGCTGTTATGCAAATTAAATGAGTCGTCGTCCTGATTTTTAGGGAGTTTAAAAAAATAAAGAGTTCTAAAGAACAGTTTACTGACAACTAACAGAACCTATCTTAATTCTCATGAAAACTACATAAATCTGTAATATTCATTATTAAATTTCAAAGGCATTCTTACAAAAATACATAAGGCCAAAAAGATAAAGACAAAGGAAAAGAAAGAAATAATTATTCAGCTAGTGCTTGCTGTAGTCCCTGCTCCCCCTACAGTCTACGGAGTACTGGAATTATAGGCATGTACCAGAGTGACCAGCAAAAGATTAAAAAAGAAAAAGTCCTACAAAAGAAAAAATATCTGTGTCCAGGTACGGTCTTGCACAACTGTAATTTCAGCATCTGACTGTGATGGTAGGACAAAGGATCGTAAATTACATGTTCGCCAGAACTACTTAAGACCTTGTCCTCCAAAAAGAAAAAAACAAAATCAATGTATTTTTGCATAGAAAATGAAAAATACAAAATGAGAAAGTTTGAGGGAAAAAAAAAAAGCAGGCTAGCGTTCTTTATAGGGAGATGACTTTTTTAACTGCAATTCCAAAATAGGTTTATTGGGGGCTTATTTACATCTGTATGGATGGATATAAGAGCACCCTCTAAGGATGAAGATCACCAACAGGCCTCAACAAAAAGAATAAACCATGGAGATCATCAATAGATACCCTATCAAAGTTCTAAATATTTACCCACAGTTTAAAATGTTAGTGTCAAATAAAAAATCACTATAATTTCAATTACCTTCTCTGAGCCAGCATGGCTTTCATCTTCATGTTCTTCTTCTACTCTGTCCCTTTTCAATGCTTTTAAAAATTCACTCTTCTTATCACTGCGCATTCTCGTCAGTTTAGTTAAACGAGGCTGCTGATTAAGTTTGTCAACAGGCGAGGAAGAATTTGAACGATTACACTAATGGGAAATTCAGAAATACTAGTCATCGTGTAACTAGATAATCAAAACGAAGTTCACAATTACCACAACATTTTATCATATACTGTTATACGGTGAAATTGATTTCAAACGCTAGCTCACAGTAAACTAACAATGTACATTTTGTACATTTTTAGCTCAAGAACGTTCTTATTCTGGAGGTAATGAAGGTCAGATAACAAACAGAACTTAAAATATAAAACTTATAAGATCAGGATAATACTGACTTTAAATATTTACACAACACATGAAGAAAGCAATTTTTCTGGCCATGCTACAGAGTGCTAAGGTTCTGAAACACCTCCAATAAAATTTTATGATCACTTATGTAAACAGAATTTGTCATTGCATTGGATTTTCCCAGAGATTTCTGTGAGGAAGAGAAGGGAAAAATGATACTGACTTTTCGTTTTGTTTTCTCTTGATGTTTTTAGTAGTAGAACACAAACATAATATGAATGTTAGAACTTGTCTAATAACAATTTTTTATTAGAAATAAATCATAAGGCTTAATTACTGACATTAAAGTATGTATTAGAATTAACATAAAAACAACAAAGCATTTATAAATATTGGTCTTATTTTTAACTCAAAAATTCTGCAGATGAAGACATAGATTATATATGGTTTTCGTATTCCAATATGCAACCTAAAACAATTTTTAGTCCAACAATAGTTGATCCTAGATTAGTCAAGGAACTCCTTACTATTTGAGCTACCACATACTCACAAATACCTTTCTTTCCTCTTCTCTAGTTTAATGTTACTAATAAAATGTCCATCAATCCCAAAACAAGACTATACAAATTCTCATTCATGGCCAAGGTTAATTCCTACAGTGAAACTCCCATAACCATTATTTTAACATGCATTTGAATTAAATTCACTGAAAAAAAATACATTATCTTAAGTATCTCATCTTTAATGAATCTGTGTATTTAATATATTGCTATACTATCAGGATTTGTGAAGTGGGCATCACAGCACAACCTTTATCATAAGGAAGAATGATCTTTTATGAATAGGAGCTTCAGACTCACATGGGCCACATAACAGTACATTCCTCACTCAGCCAGGTGGTGGTGGCACACATCTTTAATGGGGGGGTGGGGTGGGGGGTGGGGTATAGCACTCTATAAGTTCCAGAACAGCCAGGGCTAGAAACAGAAAAACACTGTTTCATGGTGGGGTGAATGTGTATTACATTCCTCAAGAAATGTTCAGTGGCATACCTCCTTCACTGAATTTGTTGATGGACTAATACTCTTGGCTGTTGACTTAAAGGTATTAAAGTTGCCAACACCATATGTAGACTCATGAGGAAAAGAAGTCCCAACTTTGTTTTCTTTAGTTTGGCTTTTCCATTGTGTAGGCTAAAGAAAAACACAAGACCAATAGTTACCAAAAACAAAGAATAAGTGAACACACTAAACAATGATTACAATGGCTCATAAAAGTTATTTTACACTATTTTCATCATCTCTCCATGGTTCTTTGACCTTCATAACTTTTACTACTGGTTTTTTCCTTGTTGTTTTGTAGAGGCAGCATTTATCTATACAGCTCCGGAGCTGGGCTACTTACTATCCTCATCAAGCCCCTCAGTGTTAGGATTACAGGTGTGAACCACAAACACATGGCTCTCTATCATTTTCTACAAATAAAAAAGGGGTTTAATATACAATAAAAACACTAAATCTGGGGCTGAAGAGATGGCTCAGCAGCTCTTACAGACAATACAAGTTCAGCTCCCAAATAGCAAAGTCAGGTGGCTCACAATCACCTGTAAAACTTTTAGCCTCTTCAGGCACACACCCACATACAAACATACCTAGAAATATCATTTAATGATAATAAAAGGAACCCAGGTGTGTTGGCACATGCCTTTAATCCCAGAATTCTGGAAGCAGAAACAAGTGATCTCTGTAAATTTGAGGTCAGGCTGCTCTACACAGCAAGTCTAAACAGCCAGAATTTCATAGACATCCTGTCTCAAGAACACAAAACGATGATGATGATGATGATGAAGGAGGAGGAGGAGGAGAAGAAGGAAGAAGAAGAAGAAGAAGAAGAAGAAGAAGAAGAAGAAGAAGAAGAAGAAGAAGAAGAAGAAGAAGAAGACGACTGGTAATATGGTTCAGTGAATGAAGGCATCTGCCTCCAAACCTAAGTCCAATCCATGTAGCCTACAGGTAGAAGACCCCTAAGAGTCATTCTCTGATCTCCACCTGCACATTGTAGCACATCTGCACACACACATAACTACACACAAATAATGTGATTTTAAAACTAATACAATGTATTTTTTAAATCTAAATCACCGTTACTTTCACAATTTAGGGGTTTCTTTTTTGTCTTACAATAAAACTCATGTGCATTTCAAAACTCCAAACTGAGCACCAAGTAAACAGTTTAATACATGTACCAGCAAATAAATCCTACTACATCCAATAGAGCAAATTATAAAAATTTAATTCTCTACTTCTAAAGTAAAACACAGAGGAACAAAAAAATAATAGTGTGTGTGTAGGTTATAACTGAGTGTAGGGGTGCCACTTTACAAATGGAACATCTATAACATTTAGTTTAAACACAAGGACTTACTTTTGTAGGTGGAACAGCAGGTTTGGGGATTAAGCCTTTATAAACACTGGGACCAGTTCCATTCTTAACTGGCTGTGTCTGAAGGTTTCCTGCTACTGGGAATCCAGATAGCTGTAAGTCTTTTGTATTACCTTTCTTAATGACCAGCATTCTTGGAGCTCTAGATTTAGGATTCGGGGGGTATTCTGCATATAAATAAAGCACAAACTTATGTTACATACAATTTCAAATTTTAGGACAAATGACCCCACTAAAACCTTAAATGCATTTTAAAAAATTGTATCAGCTGGTTTGGGGTGAAATAATCTGAGTATAGCCAAATTCCAGCTTAAGAAATAAAGCTAAAATATAAGAGTTTGGGCAATGCCTACTAATACAGATGACAGCAGGCTAAAAGAGGTAACTGGAAAACAAGAATTAAAATCTATACATTTTTCACTTATTAAAAAAAAACTTTAAAAATTTTTTATTCCAATCTGACAATCCTAGTTTTTCTTTAAGCCAGTCTTTAAAAGCCAAAATTTCCTATTCTTTCTCAATCCTTTCATTATACTAACCAATTTGTAATCAATGAGCAAGGACCCACAATCCCAATACTTCTAAATGTCTATTAAATCAACTATTAGTAAAAAATTAATATTGCTTTCATAACACCAATTCATTCAAATATTTACGGTCCATATAATTATAACTTAAGGCATCATGTGAGGTCAGGACAACCAACTCAATCAGTTTTCTATAGGCAGTCCTGGGAATAACTGCTAAATGAAGACATTTTTTCAAGACTACTGTACTTGCTACAAATATGAAACATAATCAAATAGGTATTAGACATACTTATCATTGTCACAAAGAAGTATATCCTTCATCCCTTACAAAAAATTCTGAAAGCATGTTACATAATTAGAAATTTTATAATAGTTAACTCAGATCAAAATCTCTGAAAAAATTCTAAATTTAAGTTAGCTCAGGATATTAATGGCAGACTTTATGAATCAATAACCTGACTAGATGTTTGTGCTGAAACCCTGGGGCTCCTAACTACCAACTTCCTACTACAGCATCTTAACAAAACTCTAACTACTACTAAGGAAACCTGAAAAGATTCAGTTCACCTAAGACACCAACTCCAAAAGATAAAACTGATTTATCATCTACTGCCATACTGACAATAAAGAATGAGGAGAGGGCTGGAGAGATGGCTCAGAGGTTAAGCGCAGTGGCTGCTCTTCCAGAGGTCCTGAGTTCAATTCCCAGCAACCACATGGTGGCTCACAACCATCCGTTATGAGATCTGGTTCCCTCCTGCTGATGTGCAGATATACATGGAAGCATAATGTTGTATACATAATAAATAAAATAAAAATATTAAAAAAAGAATGAGGACATAGAACCAATAAAAAGGTTACCATACCAAAAAAACTGTGTGTTGAGTAACTAGGGAAAATATTTCATGATTTGGTATCTAACAAGGCCTAACAGCTTTAAACACGCACGCACACACGCACGCAGGCGCACACACAACTTCAAGCACAAAAGAACAAAGTAAAGTATATCATTAACTTATAGTTTTACTAAAGATATTATTATACAGTGAGGGCAAGGAAACCAAGAATGAAGATCTCAAATACAGAACAATGAAGTACACTAGAACTCTACTGTTTTAACTGTTTTTAGTACAAATATAATAAAAATAAAACCTCAAGCTCTTATGGATATGGCAGCTAAAGCAGGAATATAGTGAGTTTGAGGCCTGCTTGTGCTAAAACTGAGACACTGTTTGATTCCTCCTCACAAAAAGTTCTCGGAGCCAGTCATAATGCCACTACAGTCCCAACAGGGGGAAGAGAATCCCTGGTAATAAACAGTGGTTAGGGCTCAGTGTTTTCAAACAGGAAGGGGGAGCTAAAAAATGAATGTTAAGACATATCTTAGCCTTTAAATAACACCAAGGAATCTGAGCACAACTGATGTTTATAAAACACAAAAGGTAATAGCTTCAAAGGGATCACTGAAGGCTTTGAAACAGGAACATTTCAATCAGTATACCACAACTGAGTATGACTGATGACTTCTGGTTCAATATGGCTAAGCAACTAAGTTCATCTTCCTTCCCTTATAGATTCTTCTTCTATATTAAGTTATCGTAATGGGGGAGGAAACCAAATAATGTGTAGAAGTAGAGTTGTCAACAAACCAGTGATCAATACACACTGCTAGATGAAGACGTAAAGGGAAAAGTTTCAGTTTACAATGTGCACAGCTGAGAAGATCTAATCTGCCCTGCAGACTCTCAGAAGCAATGAAGTGAAATTAAAACATCAAGATATGGTAGGAGAAGAAAAGAGTTTTTTCCAGGCAAAATTATGTAATTCACACTCTATTCTATGTGTTTAAACAGCAGGAAAATGGCTTTGACATAGGTTGAGACATATGAAGAAATACAATTTGTTATACATTGAACTCTGAATTTTAAAAGTAGAAACAAGATATGTACGGTGGTGCATGCCTGAGAAGGTTCACCTCAGCCTTCATCACATACTGAGACCCTAACTAGAAAAGGGCATGTGGGATAAGAACAGCAGGAGGCAGAGAAGACAGAAGATAGATAAATTATTTGTTTCTTTGAGCCTCAAGTAGATTCTGACTACAAATTTCACCTTTCCTAAAACTGGATTCCTTGAAGCAAAAAAACATTCTAGCTGTTTCTTCAGTGAGGTCCTCGGTGCAAAGAATGATGGAATGCCCTTTAAAGAAGAAAGGTGAAGCCTAAGAAGTCACCCTCAGAAGAATAAGCAGCCAAAGTAAGAGATGAAAGTACCAAAAGATGAAGGGAATTCAGAGTGAAGAGAAGCAAATACCGTGTCTGCTTTAAGCATTTCAAGTATCATTATACATGAAAATAGGATTTTGTACATGATTGTCAAACTCTAATACTAACTTCCAAGTAGCTCTAACCTTACTTATTGTATAACTTTATACAAGCAGTCTTCTCTCATAATCATTATAAATTTTTGATATTTAAGTAACTTATTCAAAATATGCAGAAAAGGCATATGCTACTTTCAACCCAGTTTAAAAAAGGGGGGGATATGCTTTCCCTAGAACTTAACATTAACATGTAAGAGAAGAAAAAAGAAAAAAATTATAAGAGAAACCTTGACATGTATATCCTATAAAGCTATTCTGAATAAACTATACAAAAGTTGACCAGTTAAGAAAATTTTCTTGAGGCCAGTGAGATGTCTCAGCAGGTAAGGACACTTGTCACCACACCTGACAAACTGAGTTCAATCCCCAGGGATCCACATGTTGGAAAGAGCAAAGTGACTTCCACAAGTTGTCCTCTGACCTCTACACACATGCTACTGCCATTTGTAAACATGCAATCACAAAGTAATAAACACAATTGTTAAAGGAAGTTTTCTTAGCGATTCAAAAGATGGCTCTGTGGATCTGAATATTCACTGTGCAACCATGAAGACAAAAGTTCAAACCCCTAACACCTACATAAAAGCTATTGTGGCCCCATTTGTGCCTGTAATCCCAGCATTGAGATAGGAGAACCATTGGTTCTTATTGACTGCTAGCTTTGCTCCAGGTTTAGTGAGATAACACATCTCAAACAAATAATGTGAAGAACTGACAAAGCAAGAAACCCAACATTTTCTTCTGCCCTCAGTGGCCAAGTCTAGGCCAAACCTAGGCTACATAGTAAGACCCTGTGTCAAAAAGTCCCACAGAGAAAGGGATGCTCTTATTGCCATAATGACCTATAAGTAATGGAATGAGTGATGGGCAAACTAATTTGCACACTTCATTTATTTACATTCACTTTATACTGCGTTATTATTTGTCTCTTTAGATTATTTCCCACTTCATATACATATTTATGATCATGTAAGTTTCTAGATTCAAATATTATCTCAGATCTTTCGTCAATTGTTAAATAACTCCATTCAAGAACTCTAAAGGTAAATGTTTTAAATTTTCATATTATTATTTCCTTCTAGCCTCCGAAATAACTCATCTTACAAAAAGTTACTTTTTGTTGCTATCTTGTCACGTATGCCCTACCTACCAATTCAAGAATTAGTTTTAAATTTCCTTAATATCAAAGTTACTAGTAGGGTGAACACTGGCTTGATTTTTTTCAGAGAAAAATTAGAATAATGCTACAAATAAATAATGAAAGGTCTCAGGTAGGAAGACTGAAAATTTGATGACAACCTGGCTACAGAGCTCGAACACCTCAATTCACTGATTCAATCTCTTTTCTGTTTTCCACCATAGTTTTCAGACTTACCCAGTGTGCTAAAACTTGTTTTTAAAAAAAAACAGTGATGGCCCTGACCTCTAGTGAGAGCCCTCATCCAGTGGCTGATGGAAGCAGAGGCAGACACCCATAGCTAAACAATGAACTGAACTCTGGAACCCATTTGCAGAGAGGGAGGAGTGAAGAGCAAAGAGATAGGAACCAGGATGGTGAAACAGAAACAGCTGACCTCAACAAGAGGGAGTGCACAGACCCCAGACTACTGTCTGGGAAGCCAGCACGGGACTGATCCAGACACCTAAACGTGGAGGCCCCAGCACTCTATGTGGATCAGCATTTATTCCTGGCATAAGAAGGGACTTTGGGAGCCCATCCTACATGGAGGGATGTTCTCTCAGCCTGAACACATGGGGGAGGGCCTAGGCCCTGACAAGAATGGTATCAGACAACTTTGGGGAACCCCCATGGGAGGCCTTACCTTTCCTGGGGGGGGAAGGGGGAGTCAAGATCTGGGGCTGGGGGAAGGGGGAGGGGAGGGAGAGGGAGAAGGAGAAGGGATTGACATGTGAAGCAA